CTCTCCACACACCAAGTGCTGCCCAAACTGTGCCCAGGTACCCATGCCCAGTTAGCCCTGCACTGACACCATCGTGGTTCAGACAGCGTGTGCAGGAATTGGCTAAAACCATCACCAACCCACTGTACCCAAAGATTGAAAAAGAATAGCGAAGGGATCAGACTTACTCGGATCAATGAGAAGGAGAAGTGAGGATTTGAGGGTTTCTGAGCCAGAAGCACTTTTATAGCATCCCTGGGATTGCCTGGAGGGGTTGAGACATCCCTTGTATTTCAGGTTGATTTTGTTACAAAACACAACAATGCACGTCACTCCCCAGGCCTTTATGATACAGTTTTATTAATCTTTGCACAATTATCAGTTTCTTCCAACACCCTCTTGTTTCTTCCTTAAACTCGAAGCAGTTTCACTTCCTGCAGCATTTTGCTGATTTTACCGATGTTGGAAAACTACCTTATTTACGCAATCGCTCTGCATGGCTGGTGTTTTTCACTCACTCCTCAGTAGCACAAGTAGTGCAATGCTGATTCCCATCTCTAAACCCCTGCTGATATTGAACCCTTATGAGCCCGTGTCTGATGTGAGGAAAATCTTTCAATAACTTGTAAAATTGTGGTGGTTTTTGTTGCCTTTTGTTTGTTGTTTTGGGTTTTTTTTTTTACTTGGATGTGAATGGAATAGAGCAAGACAATCCTTTAAAGTCACACGGGATTGGGATGCTTTACCCTGTATTATGGGACATCTGAGGTTGGGGTCTCATTCTGTGTCCTTCCTTTTGTCCCCAAGGAGGGACTCAACCCCCAAACCTGGGTAGGGTCATGCTGGGTGATTTCTAAGAAGGAAGAAGAAACTGGGAAACACTAAGGAAGACCTGGGCTGAGTAATATTTGTTAACTGTGAGTAAACTATTTGCATGAATGAGGAGTGGAGGAGTGCTGTGCAATCTGTGTGCTTGGGAGCTAATTAAGATCTTGTTCATGAGGTGTCATAGACTGGTGGGCAGCCCAAAAAACGGTATAAAAAGGGCTCACAGCACAGACAGCCTCAGACGACCGCTTTTCACTTCTCCTCTTCGGTGTCTTGAGTAAGTTTGACCCCATTTAATCTTTCTGATTTAAAGCATCGTGCTTGAGTAGGTTTAACTGAATCTGCCAGAAATACTCTGCTTGTCTGGCAAGGCAGAGCAGGGTGGGCTGTGGGGTGGCTCATGGGCTGTGGGATGCCTCAAGTCCCTGCTGTGTTACAGGTCCATCTCTCCACCCGAAGGATGTCTTTCTACAGCCAGCAGCTCAGCTCCCGCTGCTCCCCACCCTGTGAGGTGAGCTGCCCGCAGCCCATCGCCAACGCCTGGAGCCAGCCCTGCGTCACGTCCTGCGGGGACTCGCGTGCTGTGGTCTACCCACCCCCTGTGGTCATCACCTTCCCAGGCCCCATCCTCAGCTCCTGCCCTCAGGAGAGCATCGTGGGCTCCTCATCCCCCCTGGGGCTGGAGCGGCCCAGGGGGCTGGAGTGGCCCAGAGGTCTGCAGGGCTCTCTTGTCTATGGGGGCTACTTGTCCTCCTCATCTTCCTCCTCTTGGAGCCAGCGCTACGGGGGCTGCAGGCCATGCTAAGGTGTGGGTGGCTGGAGAAACAGCAGAGAAATGATGGCAAGACCTGGATGTGCAGCTGAGCTGTGGAGCTCTCCAAAGCCCTGAGCACCCAGGACTCCCAGCTAATCCATTTGGACCTATGGGTGCTGCTCCGCACCCATGGGAACTGCTCTTCTGCTTGTCCTTCTTATGCTCTTTTTGCTGGTGATGTTGTTGCTGTAAACCTGCACTGGTTTCTCAAAATGT